TTAAAGACTCTCTATGCTGCAATGGGCTGCTTGAAGCCTGAAGACAAGAACTTCATTCCAGTGGGATACGAAATCTTCAGCATGCTACATGCAGGCTAAATTTAGCAGTGTTTAAGGAAGTTATAGCAGGCTTTTGGATAGGTAGTCCTGAATTCTGTGAAATGGCCCAATTGAAGTTCAGAATAGCCAATTGCTGCAGAACTCCCAAGACTAACCCAGAGGAAGACACTGGGAAAGTATTTCTGTTACAATGATGACAAATGCCTTATTGAAAGCTGTCATAGGAGGGGGCTGAGAATGGCCTGAAAGAGTGAAAGAAGCAGGACTTCCTCCTGAATTCCTAAATTAGTGGCCCCCAACTTTCTGTCCCTGGGGACTGGATGGAGGGGTGCAGGATCAGTCCAGGGGCCTGATCCTGTGCACCCAGAGCTGGCTGCATGACAGCACAATCTGGTGCAGTGGCCCCACTGTTTGGCCAGCAAGACTCCCCTCAGGTCTGGAAATCTGGAAGCAGGTGAGTAGCAATTAACACTGCCACCATTCCCTTGCTGCCAAATTTCTGGAACTGTAGGGAATCCTGATGGCCAGACATTATGGCCTGATCTGGCCCCCAGGCTGAGGCTGAACACTTATGCTAAATGCTTGCAGAGAGTATTGGAGAGGGGGGATCTAAGGCATGTCACTAAGACAACTCTTCAGGGTCTGCCAAGAATAGAGCTAATCAAAGTCTATGATAAACTTGGGCATCTGTACACATGCAACATTCTTTTGAATTGCAAGCAGTGGTCAACTACGGCCTCTGTGACTCTAACTGGCATTCAGGTGCCATCTTGGGTTTGGTGCAAGAACCTGCATACTCCCTAACAGTAGCTTATGGAAAATCAACTTGACTTTTTGGGGCCCAAAATCAAGAGCAGATCACTTCTGTCATTTCCCTTATAGGTGCTTTGTTTTCTTACTCTGCTTCTGTCCCCAGAGTATATGCTGGTGATGTTTGGTCTTCTGCAGTGCGAAGGGAAAACTTAAGTGCATTCGATTCCCCTTTAGTCTGGTGATAAATTTTTCTCCTGCATATTTGGACTATTCCATTGGGTCATAGTTTCAGGGGCAGCGATAATTAAAGTCACTGCATCTTATTTGTGGTTATCTGATACTTTTTTTTCAATGGTCTGCAGCTATTTTTTATTATTGATTTATTTGAGATGTTATAGCACCTAGAATCCCTGTTCAGGGTCCAAGACCCAACTGCAAGAGACACTAATCATGGAACAAGGTAGCCCATGCCCCAGAGAGCTCGGTCTCAAATTTGGTTTTGTGCTTCAAATCTGTTAAACATCAAAGGATTTAAGACACCTAAATTGTCTGTTGTTTCCCTACACAGAAAACAGTGGGTTAATAATTCCCATTCTCCAAAAAAGAAATGGGAGATTCTGGAAGCTATTTGAGACTTGAAGAAAACCAAGTGTGTTTTCTTGGAATACCAAGCTTCGGTATGGAACTGATGATCTGAATAATAAATTAAGAGTTTTCGATCTGGATTTTCATCTGCCTACACAACCCAATTACATCACAATTACTGCATTTGCCTGTTTTGGATTGTTATATCTGATGTAAGCGTTTCTGTTTGCCTTAGTTTGTACCAACAAGTATGGCTTCAGCAGCAGCATTAAGATGAGATTTTCTGTACATACTCTCTCAGTTGGTTTAATTGAAGTGGGATAAGGACAGTGGCTGGGGCTCTCATTTAACTGGGACATCTTCTGAAAAGCTACTTATGCTTAGCTGTACTAAATAGAAAAGATTTCTACATAATGGGGATTATTCTGCCTAATGAGGACATGTATTTATGTGGTTTAGGATTGGGTCTTCTGTTTTCTGTAATGTTTTATAGTCCTACCATACATGTGCACACTGGTTTTGGGTGTTTCACTGGTTTCTTCCATGTTACTACATACGCTGCACCCATGCCAAAAAAGTGGGGCAGAGCACGTGGCAGTAGTGTGCACTGTCCAAAACCAGAGCCTGGCTGACTGGAGCCATGCTCTAGCTGCCAGCCAGGCTGCCTGCTGCAGGAGCACCTCAGCTGTAGCTCCTAGAGGCCCTTAGGAACCCAGGTAAGGCTGCTGGGACAAGCACAGTTGCTAGCCCCAGCCTTCACTACTACACCCGAGTAACCTGCTACGTGCCAGAACATGTGTGGCGTGGGCATTCCCTGGGGACAAGTAGCAGCGGCACAAAGTGTAACAAGGTTTCTTTTGGCCCCATCCTTAAATTTGTCTAGGTCACTCTAAATCCTAGCCCTACTCTCCAGCATATCTATTAAACCCCCAGCTTGGTGTCATCCACAAACTTGCTTAGGGTGCACATCATCCCATATTCCAGGTAGTTAATGAAAATATTGAACAAAACCGACTCCACTTGATACTGGCTGCCAGCTAGACCTCAAGCAATTGATCACTACCTGTTGAGCCTGATGATCCAGCCAGCTTTCTATCCACTTGACAGTCCATTCATTCAACCCATACTTCTTCAGCTTGATTGCAAGAATGCTGTGGGAGATGGTATCAAAAGCCTTGCTAATGTCAAGGTATATCATATCCACTGCTTTCCCTGCATCCACAGAGCCAGTTGTCTCATCATAGGAGGCAATCCATGTTGGTCAGGCATGACTTGTCCTTGGTGACTTCAGGTGCTTGGAAATGGCTCCCTTGAGGACCTGCTCTATGATCTTTCCAAGGACTGAGGTGAAGCTGACTGGTCTGTAGTTCCCTGGAACTTCCTTCCCTTTCATAAAGATGGGCCCTATATTTACCCTTTTCCAGTTGTCTGGAACCTTCTCTGATCATGAATTTTCAAAGATAATGGCCAGCGGCTCTGCTGTCACATCTAGCCCCACGGACTTACACACGTCCAGCTTTTCTAAATAGTCCCTAACCTGTTCTTTCACTACTGAGGGCTGGTCAGCATCTCCCCAGACTGTGCTGCCAGGTACAGTAGTCTGGGAGCTGACCCTGCCTGTGAAGACCGAGGTGAAAAGGCATTGACTACTCCAGCTTTTTCCTTCTCATCTGTCATTAGGTGGCCTCCCCAATTCAGTAAGGGACACACACTTTTCCTGACCTTCCTGCTGTTACTGATATACTTGCAGAAACCATTTGTTACCCTTCGCATCCCTTGCTAGCTTCAACTCCAGTTGTGCTTTGCTTTCTGGTTTCATTCCTGCATGCCTGAGCAATACTCTTATACTCCTCCCAAGTCGTTTGTCTAAGCTTCAACTTCTTGTAAGCTTCCTTTTTGTTTAAGTTCACCAAAGAGTTCTCTGCTAAGCCAAGCTGGTCACCTGCCATATTTGCTATTCTTCCTGCACATTGGGATGGTTTGTTTGTGGTCCCTTAGTAAGGTTTTTTTTAAAATGCAACAAACTCCTGGACTCCTTTCCCCCTCAGGCTGGTTGCCGAAGGGATCCTGCCCATCCATTCCCTGAGGGAGTCTGAGTCTGCTTTTCTAAAGTTCAGGGTCCTTACTCTGCTGTTCTCCTTTCTTCCTTTTATCAGGATCCTGAACCTGATCTTGTTATCACTGCTGTCCAAGTTGCTATCCACTTATGCATCCCTCATCAGTACTTCCCTGCTTGTGAACAGTAGGTCAAAAAGAGCACAGCCCCTAGCTGGTCTTTCCAACACTTGCACCAGGAAGTTGTCTTCAGTGCTCTCCAAAAAACTTCCTAGTTTGCCTGTGCACTGCTGTATCGCCCTCCCAGCAGATGTCAAGGTAATTGAAGTCTTCCATGAGAAACAGGGCCTGTAGTCTGTTATGTCTGAGGAAAGCTTCATCTACCCCATCCTTCTGGCCTGGTGGTCTGTAGCAGGCGCCTTATTTATATACTTCACCCATCTTTTCCCCCAAAAAATTATTGATTGAAAATTGGGGTGTATGTCTTAATGAAACCTGGTTCTGGGCAGTTTGGTTAAAAGAAGAAATATTTTCTTTATTCTGCCTTATCTCCTCAAGGCTTATATATGAAGGGTATGATATATGGATAAATACAGTAATACTAAAAATAGTATCTTCTGTTACTCAGGAATTCATTATAGGGGTACCAGCTATCTATCAGATGCTCAAGTTAACCTAATTATATCCCTATTATTAAATCGAGGTGACCACCCTGGGCCCGTGCTCTTTGGGGGGCCCCACAGAGCTGGGCGGAGTGGCTGTGGCAACTGCACCGTCGACGCTGGTTTTGCATCCAGCCGCTCGCTACTAGTCACGCAACACAGTGGGGAAATTTGCCGTCATGGCTCCTTGTGCATCCAGTAGCACTGGAGAATCTAAACAGTCTCACAGTTTGATGACAGTTGCAAGTCTGTGCTGGGTACTAATATTGAATGTTAATACCTTGTTAACAAACTGCTGGGTTTAGGGGTTGAGGAGCAGCAGTCTGAATTTGCTGAGTTATTTTACAGTATAGACATTTTCTGTGTCTTGATTTCTCTCCATCTGTGATGATAGGATAATCTCTTAACTAATTCATGGTAAAGTCATTGGTTTGGAGAAATGCTTTTATTTTGACTTCCTTGTTCACGTACCAAATTCATAAACTATTAAAGATGTCCTGGAAAAATAATGTAATTTTTTCTTTGCTTTCTCAATAGTTATCACTGCATTAGCAGAACAAAATTGTTGTAAGTTCATGAAAAGTGTATGATTTCTTTTAAAATGACTACTTTTTAAAAAGTGGTACTTCTAATACTGAAATTATAGTATGAAGGTCATGCTGCTTCTTGTAGGTAAGTGATTTTAGGGATTAACTACTTGATGGTCACTGACTTAAATGTCATCACAAAAGTGTTAAGGCAATGTTTTTTGCTTTGAAAAGACCTAAGGGAAAATGCACATATTTTCTGTGCTTTCAATAGTGGTAGTACAGATTGTCTAATAAACAGACTTTCTTAGAAAATTATACATTATTTTAAAGGAACTTTTAAATCTTTATTTTGTAGAAACGGCCTCCGAGGACATTGGACAAAATACAGAAGTGCTCAGGAGCAGGACAAGTATGATTAATTACAAGAAACATACAGACATGGCTATTAAGACATGGAACACCAGAGCTGTTACTGGAAAAATTCCACGTAGAAGTGCTACTTTGGCTGCTAATAAAATTAAGAAAATGAGTGACACAAAGGAACAGCTCTCCAGCTCAGAAAGTGCATGCACTGGAAAGAAGAGCAGGAAACTGCTCCATTGCAATGCATTTGCACCTTCCAGGAAAAGACCCATGGACAGCTTTGAGATGGATACTAGTCTGAAGTCTGAAAGTGACAAAGAAGCAAAAGAGCAATATACCAACAGGAAAAAACGTTCTTGCCCTGATTTGGTTGCTACTGAAAGAAAATATATTAGTGATTCTGAAAGAGGAAAATCAGAGTCTGAGACAGATATGAAAGTGGCACAAAACAAAAGGCATAGTAAAGACTATAAGCAGTTATACCAAACTGCCTATGCTGAATCTCTTAATGTGAAGAATCCCACAGAAGAATTTTCAGAAGAGGTCTCCAAAAGCGTCAAGTCGGAGGATGAGGGCAGTTGGAAACCTTCCAGCCACTCGCTTTCAACAAACAAATGTGGGGTGAACAATTCTGAAGATGAAGCAGATTCTGAGTCAGGCAGCGCAATGACCAATCAAAAAGCTAGAACTACTCATGGAAGAGTAAAATCCTGTGGTGTAAAGGATACACTGGAAGTGGAAACAGGAGAGAGAGGGGATGGCAATACTGTGTTGCATAGCATGGAACCATGCAGGACTGCTAGAAGTTCAAAATCTGGACTTCATGCCAACTTCAATTGCTCTTCTCATTTAGAATCTGAAACCGATTCCAGTAACAGCAATTATAGTGCTGCCACAAAAACAAGAAAGAGAAAAAGAAAAGGAAAAACAAAAGTGATTAGAAGAGGTAGAATTTCAAATTCCAATGTGTCGAAGCCTTCCAGAAGGCCCCAACGAAGGAAACGTCTTAAACTTAATCAGGAAAATGACTCTGATGATTTGGACTATACCAAATATAAAAGAGCTAATCGACGTTCTAAAATAAGAACTAGAAATGGGGGTAGGAGGACTGTAAGGTATGATGATGGTGGTGATGACGATGATGACGATGACAGAGATCTAGACAACACAGCTTGTGGAACATAACCTTTAAAGGAAAAGCCAGCCTGCTTTTTTATGGTAATAACACTAGAATTCATGATGAATGCCGGCTCTTCTTCGTCCTACATTTCAGGGATTATATTTATATTTTTCTATGAAAAAGTTATGAATGTGATTTAAATCATGACTCTCCTTTTCATATTTTGACTTGCACTTGCCTGCCCTTGTAGCAGCATTTAGCACAGATGCCAAAATGTGCCTCATTATAGGGGCAAATGTTTTTCTTTACTGATATTTTATTACATATAGCAAGAGTTTAAAAAAAATGTTCAACACTGGGAAAACAGGTTAATAGCAGTATGTTGAGTATTATTGTTATGGGTGCTGCAATGAGATACTACCTAGGCTATATAATATTAATGCATTCAACTGCAAACACCTCTTAATGCTGTCTGAAATCTCACATGATGGTAACAGACTACAAATAATAGTGGTCATGCTATAGAAAGGTGGACGCTGACATAAAGAACATCAGATAAGAAATAAATGTTCACTACATAAATAATATAACAGCTTGTATTAGTGCAGATGTCAAAATGTTCTGTGCGACCACTATCAATTATACAGAACCAACTAGCAATGAACACAATGTTTGCCAATTAAAAAATGGTGCTGGGGAAGATAAGTTTTGCTGACAGGTAGTACTATCATCTTTAATGTGACTTCCATGCTGTAAATTTAAGACCATGATATGCAGGTAAAATCTTGGGTCTAAGCGTTTTTGTGTTTTCTTTATAAAATAGACAAAAAAGTAAAACCAAACTTGTGCTGTGTATTTTTTAATAGGTGAAAAGTTTAATTATATTAATTAAAATATTAATGAACCAGAGGTTTTTTCCTAGCTTTTGTTTACTCCTTTAATTTAAACTTGTACTGAAGCACCTTTAAGTTAACTGGTTAGACTTCTGGGACATGGATAAACCTTGCCTACCATGGATAATAGAGCCACCTACAGTGGTATGGAAGTGGTATTTTAATAACCCCTCAATTAGTTGAGGCAGAGTTTTGGTTTGTTTTAGTTTTTTTTGGAAGAGAGATTTTCATAATTCTGAGATTTAGAAAAACTTTTCTCAGTGACACTTGCAGTGATCTCCCTCTCCTGCGTTTTATTCTGTCAAAACATTTAGATTTGAACCTTCAGCATTTAATTCTTTTCCTTGTTGCCATAATTCAGTTGTATCCAGTTTTAATGCCTGAAAATCCAACTCTTTCACTAAGTTTGGATGACTACAATTAATACTTTAAGGTAGATGAACTGTCATAGTTTTGCTCTATGCATTGTTTTGGTGGAACAAAGGTAGTGGAGGCCACTCCCGGAAATATGGCAGCCAACCCCCTCTTCAGAGCTGTAAATTCAGTACCTATGCTGGAGGTGCTGAAGAGCGCATTTAGGAGAGGGGGAAAGTTTAGGAAACAAGCTAGATGTGGCTCTTCTGACTGTTATCCCTCCAGGACCAAGGCCAATTGGTACAAGTCGGAACAGTCATTGCTGTTCCAGTGAGCACTGCTGTAAAATTAGAGCATCAGCAAGTCAAACTTTTTTTGATTAGCTCAGCTTTTTTTTCCTCCGCTCCACCCAAGTTCTGGGATTCCCTGGATTGTTGTGTTATTGGATAAGAGGTCTGATTTGCTAGGATTTCACACAGATGTAGGCATAGCTCATCAAACTCTGTCTTCATCCTTATGACTTGAACAGCTTGGCAGGGAGGCAGGGAA